AATGCCTCGCCCAGTTGCCTCTGTCCCGCAGGGAAGTGAGACTATCCAGCTTGTCTTTCTATCCAGGAGACTGACTGACTTCACTCATCGCGGCATCTTCCAGCTCCTCCCAGGTTGAAGCAAAGAGCATGATTTCATGGTTCCCGCAGTTGCAGAATATTTCACTGTGTCTCTGTATGACATTTTCATGATCCAGTCACCTGCCACTGACCACCAAGGACTGTGTACCTCAGTGACTGTACCGAGTGCACCAGTGGATACACCGTTCGCTTCCGTCGGGGAGGCACAGATCCAAAAGCGGAATTGCTGGGTTATAGGGCACTCAATGCTGACTTCACCGAGGAGCGTCCTGACTGCTTCCTCCAGTGGCTAAATCCGACAATGTTCCCCCCCCAGCCGTGGATGAGAGACCCTTTTCCACCACATTCCCACCAGAACGAACTGTTTCTGCTTATTTTGATATGTGTCATTCTCCCTAGTGTGAGACGGCATCTCACCGTCATCCTGATCTGGATTTCCCTGATGATAAGTGATGTGGGCTCCACATCTTATTATCTCATCCTTACTTTTGACAAACCGGCAGGCTACCGAATGTAACCTGCCCTCTGGCAAACTCCCCATGGCATACCCAATATGCCACATACCAGTAACAATGAAGGGTCTCATTCTCCTAACCCTGGCAGAGCCTTGAATATGGCACTTTTTAAAAAATCTCAGGGCTAGGACGAAGGACATGTTACTGGGGCCTGCTCGAGGCAATCGACGAACAACAGGATGGTCGTGATTGTGAAGTGATGAGGGCACCTCCGCATGTGCCCACTGGCCATCCACCAGCTTCTTCCGAGAAGGGTCTGGCTCATTTCCTCTCCACGTTTTTTGATAGGGTTTCTGAACTTTTTGCTGTTGATCTTTGTGAGTACTTTATAAATCCTGGGTATCAACTCTTTATCCGATGTGCTGGATGCAAGTACTTTTTTCCCGTTCCGTTAGCTATTTTTCCGTTTTGAGCATGTTTCTTTCGCCAAACAGAAAACTCTTTAATTCGATGTAGTCCCACTTGTTTATGTTTGATTCTGTTGTCATTGCCAATGATATCAAATCAGTGAAGACACCTCTGAAGCCCAAACCTTGGAGTGCTCTGCCTGTATTTTCCTCAGGTACCTGACGATCTCTGGTTGGCTCTCACGGTCTTGGATCACACTGACCTGACTCTGCGTGAGGCCTGAGGTCTGAGTCCAGCTTTACTCTCTCGCACGTGGTGATCCAGTTTTCCCAGCTCCCTTTTGGGGAGAGGCTACCTTTATTCCATTTCACGTGCTCAGATGCTTTGTCAAAGACGACTGTCCATAAATGAGGGTTTGAGCCTGAGTATTAGATTCTGACACAATGATCAGTAAGCCTGTCTTTACTTTACTCCAATACGTTGCATTTTTTTTATCTTCATAGTACAGTTATAGATTAGGTAATGAGACATTTCCTAATTTACTTTTCAGTATGTTTGGCTAACAGGGGTGCCTTCTGATCCAGGACAAACTTTGTTATTGACTTTACTAGGTCCAAAGAACATCGAATGTGGGAAGCAGTTGTGATGAATGTATGTAACAGCTTACGTAGGATCGTCATTTTAACATTACTGGTCCTTCCAATCCATGAACATGGGTATTTTCCCATTTCCTAAGTCTTCTTCTGTCACTTCCTGAAGTGATTCAAAGCGTTCATGGTATGGATTTCCCAGCTCTTTTGTTAATTTGATTTCGAGATACTTGATGCTTCTGGACACTACTTAAAATGGGACAGACCTTTGATTGCTTTCTCCTCTGACTCATTCTTTAGATATAAGAATGGAGCTTATTCTGCATAGCCACCTACTTTTCTGTATTGGTTTACTGTTCCTAGTAGCTTTTTTGTGGACCCTAATATTCCACTAATACTCCAAGAGCTACTTCGAGAAAAGAAAATTTCAAACCAATCTCCCTGATCAATAGTGATGTAAAAATCCTTAACAAGCCAAATTCCATAACCTATCAAATAAAATGGAGATGGTACTGGCACCCGCTCGAGTAAATCGATGAGTAACGGGGTATCAAGTGATCAAGTGATCACTGTATCACTGTCACCCACAGTGATACAGTGATCAAATAAACATACACCCTGATCTAGTGGGATTCATTTCAGAGATGCAAGAATGATTCAACATACGCAAATCAATTAGTACACTACATTAGTAAAAGGAAATACAGAAACCATATAATCATACTGATCGATGCAGAGAAAGCATTTGACAAGATCCAACAATATTTTCAGTCATGATTAAAAACCCTCAACAAAATAAGGGGTGGAAGGAACGTTCCCTGGGCTAGTCGCAACCGTCTGTGAGAATGCAGCCAGCATCATTCAAACGGGGGAGACTGAGAGGCCCCTCTGAGACCAGGCGCAGGTCAGGGTGTCCACACTCTCCACTTCTGTCTGATGCAGTACTGGAGGCGGCTACAGCAATCAGGCAAGAAAAACAAGTAAAAGGGAGCCCAATTGGAAAAGAAGAAGCCAAGTTATCACGGTCTACCGATAACAGGACACACAGAAAAGACGCAAATGGCCCACAAAGATGCACCCTGAACGCTCTTGTCTTTCTTTTCATCCACACCTGAGTTTTTTGAAAACTACCCGGAAAGAGACATAAGTGAAACCATTACAAAAATAAATCTAAGGTCTAGGAAATTTTTGTGTTTCTTTTGTTAAATGTGGGCCAGAGAGACAGTATAGCAGGCTGTTGCAGCAAAACTACAATAACAAACACACCGACACAGACACTGTCCGGGAACACCGGACTCTAGACCACACCAAAGACCTGACAGAGCCGGTGTCCCTGGCACCCTCCCCCTGCCCGGGGCCCCCAAACTGGGAGACGGCTGACCTGTCCCCTCACAGCACGCGGGCCTCAGGGCCCAGCTTCAACAGGGCTGCTGCTCTCGGCGATGAAAAGAAATGCGACAAATAACGACACCAGAGGTGTGTGACCCTCCAGCCAGGAGCACAATCAGTCCGGGGAGACTTTCCCTGCAGCGCCTCATCGTCCCTCATTCCCTCCACCCCCTCACCTCTAAAGCCCCCAGGGACACTTCCCACCATCCCAACCAGATACTGTTTAAGCGATGCCTGGTGATGGGGGGGGGGGGGGGGGGACTGAAGGCGAAGGGGCAGGAGAGATCTCGCACTGTGCAGAGTCGTGTTCAATAAGCAATAATCAATACGGGGCAAGAAACAGCGGCGGCTCCGAGCTGACAGCCTGCCCTGACTGATTCACCTCCGTTGACTGCTTCTCCTTGGACGGGGCACTTTACTTTTGACGTGCTTCACTAATCCCCGGGATGAGCAGGGACAGGAGGGGTCTTCGGTCCTGTGTCCTTTGCTCTTCCAGCCTCAGAAACCCACTCTGCATCCTGCTCAACTCCTTCCGCCTGATTTTTACCCTTTTCACAAGACTGCCCCAGGCCTCTGTGACCCTCACCTCACTTCACTGCTCCGTCTCCTAGAGTCAGTCCCATCTCAGCTTCTGGAACACTCCATAACCCTTCCAGCCATCAGAGGACAAACCTTAGGATTCCTGAGCAACGACATGCCTCTGAGGTGGCGGTGAGGAGCAAGTTCAGACGCAACACCGTCCCCCGCCTACAACCCCCATCCGTCATTTCCAAGAACACCTGAGAACTAGCACCTGGAGGCTTATGTTAGTGATATCCTAGGCAACCGGAAGTAAAGATCAAGATACCCACCGTGTGGAGAACAGGAACGAGAAAGACGTGCCCCAGCCCATTAATGCGATTAATTCTTCCTAAGAGCTAGAGCTCAGGAAACCACAGTCAAGATCTTGATTCATCTTCAACTGAACTGACACAAGAAAGAGACTTTCGTACTCAGCTTTTGGGGTCTGGGTCCCTCCCAGCAGTGCTCAGGCGTCCCTCCCAGTGGTGCTGAGGGGACCAGGTAGCGCTCGGGAGCGACCCGGAAACCCAGACCTCCTGCAAAGCTTGTTCTCTGCCGCTGGACTCTCTCTGGCCCCTAAAGGTTCTTTTTCACTGAAGGAATAAAGTGACCAGATGCTGAGAGACTGACCTAGGGAACAAAATTCTAAGATGCTCCACTTCACAGAACAAAAGATCCCGCGGCCAATATTTAATTATAAAAAAAAAAAGTATGATTTAAGCTATTGATCCAGAATTTGTTTCATTTCAACACCCAATCTGGTTCAGGATGAGAACAGATCTCATGCTCCAAAAGACAGGACCAGAATAACTGCTTCAAGATTCCCAAAAAGCCACATTCTAGGTCTTCAAATTTTAAACTTATATTCACAAAAAAAGGAAAGCCAGTGAAAAACTATCCTTAAAAATCCTAGAAAGTTCCTTCTCCTACATAGGGAGTTCTGGTGGTAAACCATTGATTGTGCATTTCTAAACTGTGTTACTGATGTGCTCAATGAAAACAGGAGTGGAAAAATTACAGTGAAAACCTGAGATGCCAACTTCTTCCAAGGAGAGCGCTCCTCTTGGGTATGCCTTTTGGTAGGTTACTCTTGGCTCAGGGAATGCAGTTAGTATTAACATATATTTAAGAGCTTTGACTTGGGGCTGGAGCGATAGCACAGCGGGTAGGGCATGTTTCCTTTGCCCGCGGCCGACCCGGGTTCGATTGCCAGCATTCCTTGTGGTCCCCTGAGCATGGCCAGGAGTAATTCCTGAGTGCATGAACCAGGAGCAACCCCTGTGCATCTCTGGGTGTGACCCAAAATGCCCCCCCCCAAAAAAGAGCTTTGACTCTTTCCAGACCCCCCAGAAATACCCAAACTTAGACCAAACAAGAAGCTTGTCTGTGCAGACAGGAGGAGACCCCGTCACGGCTCTGACCTGCTGTTCCCACGTCCCCACTGCGTCCCCCTTCCCACCTCCTCCCCATCCACCAGACCCCGCCAGGCTCGTCCCTCCCGCGGGCCCCTCACTCACCCTCGCTTGGCGCCGTGGCCCTCCTTGTCCGTGCCTTTCTCCTTCTCCCTCTTTTCCTTCTCTCTGCCCTTGCGACGCTCCCGGTCCCGCGACCCACTGCGGGTTCTCCTGTGGCTGGACCGCTCGCTGCTCCGACTGTGGGAACGGAGACGTGCCCTCGACCTGGACCTGCAGCGAGGAGACGTTTCATTAAACACAGTCTGCGGCATCGTGACACAGAGACGCCCTCTGAAACACGGGTGGAAAGAACGTACTGTCATATCAGTTACAGGCTTGGAGGAGGCATCAAAAACATGCCTCCTGAGCAGTAAGTAAATACACGTTCTTCACTTTACAGGAAACAACTTTTTTTTTTGCACTTTGCTTTTTGGGTCACACCCAGCGATGCTCAGGGGTTACTCCTGGCTCTGCACTCAGGAATTACTCTTGACGGTACTCGGGGGACCACATGGGATGCCAGGCATCGAATCCAGGTTGGCCGCGTGCAAGGCAAACGCCCTCCCCACTGTGCTATCGCTCCAGCCCCAGGAAACAACATTTGACCAAAAAGTGTTTGTAGGTGAAAACCTCCCAAGTTGAAACCTAGGCGTCAGGAGACAGTGAAATGGAGCAAACCACCAGGAGCCCCACGGTCCACAGAGGGCAGCCCTGGGAGGGGATGCTGACACACAGCCTCGGGCCACTGCCCCCAACTCTAGCCGTGCTGGCCCAGAAGCACTCCTCGGCCTCTGAGCACTGTCTGAGAGCCCCCCGCCCACAGTAAGTTGTGAGGATGTTCCCACACAAAAAAAAGTCTGAACATATGGAATGTCCAGAGATCTGGTCTCCCTGCCCTGGAATCTGCTTTCACACCTGTCCAACCTTCTTTTTTATTTCTAATTGTGACAATGGAACTCCTGTCATAGCAGTTACGATCCTCTCTGGAATTTATTTAAAGGAAAGATGTCAAGTCCTGCCTTAGACGCAAACGGGAAAACTGCCGGACTGACAGTCCTACAAAAAATTGTCTAAAGCACCAGGAAATGGAACAAATTTTTAACATGGTTGAAAAAAAAAACTTAAATTTTATTTCCAGCAAAAATAATCCTCAAACACAAAAGTAAAATAAAGCTATTTTCAGATGAAGGAAAATTAAAGCACAATCATCTACAGCAGATCTTCATTATCACAAAGTAGGATTTTTAGACTAAAAGGAATAATGGTAATAAATGAAAACCTAGAAGTTAGGAGAGAATAAGGCACATTCTTAAGCCAGTTAAAGGACATCTCCGTGTTTGAAGTAAAAAACTGTATTGCTTTGCTAAAGAATTTTCAAGTACGAATCAAGAAAATAGAGAGAGATAGTAAAAAGTTTTCCACGTTCCATATGAGTGGAAAATAGTGACTTCCTGTGTACTGACGTGGTAAGGACCTGCAAATGCACAGAGCAACCAATAAACAAAAACAAAATGAAAAGAAGTCCATCTAGAACGCCAGAACACGAACTGAAAAGGAACACTCAAAGTTAGGCATTTGTCCAAAAGAAGGAAAGAGACTCCAAAGGAAAAAAGAGGGACAAAAATAAAAAGATAAAATGGAAAAAATTTAATTCAAACATATCAATCAACATATTAACTGACACAGTGCTTAGAAAGCAGTTTTTCCAAATGAACTGAAACACCACGTAAAATATACAGTTATATATTGTTTACAAGAAATGTACTTGAAGTATATAGACCAGACAAATTTAAAGTCAAAAGCTAAATTCAGGCGTATCGTGCAGTTGGCACAGAAGACTAGAATGAGTCTATCAGTACCAGACACACTGGTTTTCAGAAACTGAGAGCCTCGCTCAAAATAATCAAGGATCCTTTCTGGTTATCAATGGGCCAGTCCACAGGTAGAAATCACACAGAATAACTTTATCTGGCCTCAAGAGAATTGTTAGAATTCAAAGTGGGAAAACGGACACACAAAAACTTTCAACTTAGTAATAACGTTTCTAAGTAATTCAGGAGTCAATAAAATTCACAGAAGAAATTAAAAAAATATTTCAAACTGAAAGACAATGAAAACACAACATGAAAATTTGGAGGCTGTAAGTAAGCCATCTTCAGAGGCAAGTTTATTGACAGGAGCTGAGAGAGGGTCTAAAAGAAGTAATTACCTCAAGCTGCTAGAAAAGGAAGAAAGGTAAGTGGAAAGGAGACAGGAGGAAAATGCGAAGGATCGAGGCCAAAGGAACAACACAAAATAAATGAAGCAAGCAGAGAGCAGAGACGCCCCAGCGGGGAGAGCCAGCAGGTGTCCAGGTACACACCACCCCGAGAAAGACAGACGGGTGACACGGAGGGACTGAGAGGCTCCCGGGAACAGACGTCAGCAGGACCGGGCGCACCCAGGCCGGCGGGGCTGAGATCCCTGGGAGGCTGTGAGTCTAACGGAAGCTTCTCATCACCAACTGCTCAGTAGTGAGGAAGGAGCAACTCTGCATCGGAAGATCACAAACTTTTTTCTTTCTTTTTTTTTTTTTAGTACGTAATTTTGAGGCAGTTTAGTATTTAGTGCTAGGAATTTCTATATGAATTGAGTTTACTATCTTTAATTGACAAAAATTAAGTTTTCACTGAAATGTCTCTGGCGACCTTAACTTTGTTGTCACAGAACTCTTCCCATCCAAAACTGTCTTCAAAGATTTTCCTCGATTTATTTCTAAGCGTATTTTTCAACATCCATGGAGCACAAAATTCTCAGCAGCTAATCCTAAAAGACTTTGAACAATATTCTGTCAGAATCTCAAGTTTCCTGACTGAAATGCAGGAACAGGGCCGGGGGCTGGTCAAAGGCCTGCAGACACTCTGCATGCAGGGGGCCGGGCTGCACCCCAGGAACCTCACAGTCCCTCAAGCCCCACTGGGAACAACTCCTGAGCACTGTGCCAGGAGTATCCCCAGAGGCTTTGGTGTGACCCAAAAACAAATTAAAAATACAGTAACAATGAAAATAAATGGATTTCTCTTCCTGATAACCTCACTCCCTACTACATATGACTTACCACATATAAATATATAACTCACTATATACAATTATGTATCTATCCACTGTATACTATAAAGTCCTGAGCATCACCAGGTGTGCCCCAACACACACACACACACACACACACACACACACACACACACACACACACAGAACTCCTCATAATAACAGTGACTCTGAAAAGATCATTTCTTCTCCTTTTTTTGGGGGTTTGTTTTTGGACCATATCCGGCAATGCTCTTCACTCGAGATTTCGTCCTGCAGTGCCCAGGGGGCCATCTGGGGTGGCAGGGATTGAACCCAGTTGGCTGCGTGCCAGGCACGCATCTACCCACCGTACCATCACTCTGGCCCAGACCGACCCAGTTCTTTTCTTGCTCCCATCTCTATCTATGAAGGGAGGGTGATCACTCGCAGTGAGGTGGGCTTGCTGGCTGCTGGTCTGAGAGAGAGGTGGAGGGGCGGACGGGAGTGGGCAGCTTCCTGACCCTCCCCCCACAGCCCCTTCCCCCACTGTCTGCCACCCTCTGTGGGAGGCTCAGGGGAGCAGAGGGTGTTCCCCAAACCCATCCTGCTCCTTGCTCGCCACTTGTCCTCACACAAGCAGCTCAGGCATTCTGGAATGTTCTCCTTCCTAGAAATGCGGCTGGTGTGCCCGATGAACCCTAACGGGCTGAAAGCAGTCACTCACGATGTCACGTTCGAGGAAGTCCCTTCGAGTATGTCACTTGGGAAATATCAGCTACTGTCCCGCTGTCCCTTAATGTCCGTTATTTGAATTCTTAACTTTGTAAGCCTCAAGAAGCAGAAAAATAATTCTGGAGAGATTACAAGGAGGGAATAGCCACTCTACAACATGGAGGGGAATATTAACCAAGGATGTGTAAAAAAAGACACTTTTATACGTTTAGAGGCCTACTCAGATTTTTAGTTTTTTTTTAAATTCTCATCTTCTCATTTTTACTAATTTGTATACGTATAAAATGTATCTATCTCATGGAAATCTTTAAGTATCGGCATAAAATTAACAATACCATTAACTTATTTATGTACCTATAAAAGTGGAAAGTTAAACAGGTTTCGAAAAACAATTTTTGTCAACTTCACATTGATGACAATTTTGTAGAATTTCAGGAGAATAAAATCTGTATGTGAGGTGTCACCAACTCCACCATAAAAATAAACAAAGGCTCTCTCGTGTGTGGGGTATAAAGAAACTCTTTCTAGTGTGCTGAGCTGCCTGGGGTGTCACGGGGGACCCCGGACCCTGGTCGGGGGAAGCGGCTCTGGCTGGGGGCGGCGTGGGGACTCGGGGACCCTGGTGGGGGGATGCGGGCTCTGGCCGGGACTGCAGTTACGTGGCGTGAAAAGTCTCATCACAGGCCTGGACATCCGGCACCTCAGAAAAACAAAGATGTGCGTCACTCCCTCAAATGGACCCTATTCGACTGGGTCATCCAAACCACATCTCAAACCCCGGTTCTGCCTTCTCACTCCCGGGCGTGTGACACCAGGCGCCGACAGCCCCACGGACGTGGTCAGGGCCTGAGTGAGTCTCCACCTGAGGGAACCCATCGGGAAGGAGACAGAGCAGGCCAGCGCCACCGGACCAGACAAAGGAAGAAACCGTATTAAAATAGAAGACAGTATTTGTCCCTCATTCCTTAAATAAATACTTATCTGATAAATCACTCTAAAAATCTCTAGAGTACCAAACTCAATATGGAGATATATTATAAACAAAGAAACATTTGATAAAAAATGTGGCACTCTAGAACACACAATATATAAGCAATAAATGGACAGCAAGATGTCCTATTACACCAGATAAATGCTTTCAATATCTACAGAATAGAAAAAATCACCATAGCATCCCTACAGAAAATGAATTACTGCCTTCAAAGACCAATTTGTCAAGTTTCTTAATTGGCTAATAAGTTCTAAACATATGTAATCAAAACAAATATCCTAATATTTTATCTTTCAATACAAATAACTACAATACTTCAAATGACCTCTTAAGTGAAGCTCTATAAATAAAAATAATAGGTATCAAAAAAACTAGTTAAAATTAAATTTTAAAAATCACACATTAAATAAAAAAGCATGGACGTATGTCAAGATGGGCATGACTTTTAATTTCACCCTCT